TCAGTTTATAGTCAAGGAAGCAACATTCTGCTATTCCAAACACTGACATTGATACAAGTCAGGTTATAGGAGATTTGTGTGGGTAGGCCTAGCAGAGATACTATTTAAATACACACAGATATTATATCTGCATATGAAGACAACCCTCACCGCCTCCTCAATGAACCACAGCAGCTGTCATCTGCCTTATCCGTATCTATGTAATGCACATTCACATGTACTCCTGATATGGGTGTTAATCATGTGTACAAGTTATTAGTGAAGTACCAATTCAGAATAATACAAATGCATTAACAATCTGTCTACTTAAAATATTGCACAGGAATAGTATAGACGTAGTTGACACAAAGCCAAGATTTGGGTGACAATTTCATTTCAAGCGACCTTGTAAATTAACAATACAAAAAGCAAAGCTATGTAGAATATTATATCCTGATCTCATGCTGTCTTAACAAATTTCTATAGGTCACATCATAATTCTTTGAAACTTGTTACTTGCGACAAATTCTGTTTTAGGAAAGATATATTCATCATTCTGCATAAATTCATTGATGTAAATTCCTAGGCTCTTGATTATGGTCTTCCACATGCATTGCTTTTCAGACTGGCACTAGCAATGCCTCTACTTGCAAAGAGGCAGGAACATCAAAAATTAATTTGCAGTGTTTTGCATATATCATTGTAGCGTTCACCCCTTGTTATGCAAAATGTCATGTATTATTCATGTATATGCAAATGTGGTGGAGAGGCGGAGCCACCAGAGATGTTTATAAGGTGGAGCCTGAGAGGAGAAAGGAAGAGTGGAGTTTACAGTTGGATCTGTGTTTGAAGGGAGAGAGAGAGAAAGAGAGATAGTTTAGGAATCTGAGGAGTGATTAGTCTGAGGAGTCAATAGTAACTTGTGAGATTTAAATAGAAGATTGATGCTTGTTGAACCTGAAGTAAATACTTATGAATTATTATGGAAACATCTGTAATTAGTAAACCTGTTTTATTCAAAAAACAGTGATGAATGGACCTTTGTCTTTCCTAAGTAAAGTACGTTGATAAAGAAATCAACTGGTGGCAGCGTGTGAAAAGGGTTGGTGTTTTTTTTCCTTCGTGAGCTCTCTGTTTTGGGGCACAAGGGGCAAATGTCGCAAGCATCGCAAGCAACATCTTGGAAGAACCCGTTACCAGGGATGAACACAAACATTCTTTAATCAGCTGAGAGTAAGCAGCACATGCACCTGATCAAATTCCAACGCCAAGATGATCTGACATTTTGTCTATCTGGAGTAAACATTTAACTTGTTGTCTCCTATCCCAATTCCCATGAGCTGAAATGAGAGATTGTAGGGAGACTGTCAGGAAAGTTGGTCTTTCTTCCTCTAAGGCTGCTTAGAATGTTACGGGAAATGATCTGGTATGCATTTTTTAAAAGTATTTCTATTTGCTTTTTGTTCGTTCTGACCTTCAAAGCCTTAAAAATCTGGGCATTGACTGCTTCCATGAGGTTGCTTCTCATATCCTCTCTTGGACACTTGCAGCTTTGTTCCTGGTAGACCTGCTGAAGGAGGATCATTGGCAGTTTTGATTTTTGCAGTGTTATATTGTATATATTCTATGTGTCAGTCGTGTGACATTCTGGTCAACCCCAGAACACATTATTTACTGTAAAATAAATAGGGACGTGTATCCATATGAGATATCAATAATGTGGGTGTATGCAATTATATTTACGAGACATTTCTTTGCACATATATCCAGCATTTTCTGAATGACATCTCATTCCACTCCTGCTCCCCTCTTCCATCTGTTCAACTATATGTTATGGCTAACTCTTCTTTATCATTCCTCCCCTCAAAAAGTCCCATCAAATAATTAGTATTCAGGCTATGTGCCCTGGGTAATATTTCTCTGGAAAATATACTTACTCTCACACTGCAGGACTCATTTCTATTCATGTTTCCAATTAAAGGTAATTGGGTGGATAGAAAAAGTACCTGAGGCCATTTCACCTGATCCAACTGAAGCAGCTCTATGTAAAAAGTCTAGCATCCACTTATATGTCACAGCACGTGAAGTAATGATGTGCAGAAATATTTACAGTATTGATCATGACTGTGTTAACATGAACAGCTTTTGTTTTTCATGATGTGGGCAACATGCAGACACAGCCATGAATTTAAGGCATACATGCAAACAATGGAATTAAGAGAATTCTCACAAGTTTTGGATCGAACAAACAGAGAACTGGATGGAAAGTAGCTATTAGCTCTTTCACCAATACTTGCAGGGATGAAAGACAAAGTTATCTATGTTCTTAGAGATCTATTGTTGACATTCAGGTACTAATTGCTGCCATGTGTCCTTCGTAATCACCTCTATTTGATATGCCAACTATATCCTTACCTGAAGTATTCTGCTACTGTCATCCATGCCAAGCTTATCATGAGCAGCTTTTAAAGACTGCCAAAAATAGTATTGGAAATGGCAGTAGTGAACACAGGGAGCTTAACAATGCATTAATGCATACCTTTTGGAATTGGCTTTGATGCTGAGGGTAGTTAATATGTATGTTAAGAGTCTCCAGGAACATTTTATAACAACTCTAAGTACGATATGTTTAGGATTTTAAAAATTTTTGCCTTGGGAAGAGAAAGTTGTTCTTCGATACAGAATAAGCCAAAGTGCAGCACTGTACACTGTACTTGCTGAGATTCTTTGAAAAAGAAACCACATCTGCGCTCATCAAAAGCCAGAGGTGCACTTGCTGAGTTTTCCTACTTAGTAGGATAATACTACAGGCCTACTAGCGCTATGTAACCTCAATAGCACGTGGGTCAGGGAATGTTACTGTACTGGGTTATAACATCAGCACTGCTAAATGTATGATCTTTTAAAAAAGGAAAAAGAAATGAGTCCCCAAGTGTATGTTTGTGTCCAATGCCTGAAAAGGCTGAAGACTATTTAAGAAGGAAATAGTAGCAATTAAGTATTTCAATGATACCTAACACAAATATCTATCAATTGCACTGTCTTATTAGCATTATCAGGCCATAGATATGGAAAGTAAAGGTAAAGGTTCCCCTTGACATTTTAGTCAATCGTGTTCGACTCTAGGGGGCGGTGGTCATTCCCGTTTCCAAGCCGTAGAGCCAGCATTTGTCCAAAGACAGTTTCTGTTGTATAGCCAGCGTGGCTATACATGGAACACTGTTTACCTTCCCACCGAGATGGTACCTATTTATCTATTCACATTTACATGCTTTCGAACTGCTAGGTTGGCGAGGGGCTGGGACAAAGCAACTGAAGCTCACTCTGTCACATGGATTCAATCTTACGACTGCAGCACTGTACATCATTTGTCCAAAGACAGTTTCTGTTGTATAGCCAGCGTGGCTATACATGGAACACTGTTTACCTTCCCACCGAGATGGTACCTATTTATCTATTCACATTTACATGCTTTCGAACTGCTAGGTTGGCGAGGGGCTGGGACAAAGCAACTGAAGCTCACTCTGTCACGTGGATTCGATCTTACGACTGCAGCACTGTACACTTCTGACCCTGCAGCACACAAAGGCTGAGAGCACAGAGTGCTGTCCTCTGAAGATGCCAGCCACAGAGACTGGCGAAACGTTAGGAAGAACAACGTTCAGAACACGGCCAAAGAGCCCGAAAAACCCACAACAACCATTAGATCCCGGCCGTGAAAGTGTTCGCAAATACACTGATGCTAGTCATCCCTTTTGGTCCCAAAGAAGTAATGGCCAGATCAGGATCAGAGTCTCATTGACAAGGACTTTAAAAAGACACTCACTGTTAAAGAGATTTACTCTAAAAAATATATACAGTAACATTATTTGGACATTTCGGCAAGAAACACAAACCAAAACAAGAGCTAAAAGAAAAATAAAAAGAAATTGTGGAACTTTGAAGACTTACGGCTATACAGTACAGTGGTGCCTCGCTTAACGGGAGCTCTGTTTGACAACGAAATCGCTAGACATCGATGTTTTTGCGATCGCAAAAGCGATCGCAAAACGATGTTCCCTATGGGGGAATTTCACATTGCGATGATTTTCGGCCAGCTGATCGGCGGTTTCAAAATGGCCGCCGGGCAAACAAAATGGCCACTCGCTCTTTTCTGGCACTGATTCCTTGCTGCACAGGCAGCGAAAATGGCCACGCTATGGAGGATTTTTTCTGGACAGTGAGTTTCAAGCCCCTAGGAACGCATTAATCAGGTTTTAATACATTTCTATGGGCTTTTAAAAATTGCATTACGACGTTTTCGTTTTACAGCGATTTCGCTGGAACAAATTAACGTTGTAATGCGAGGCACCACTGTATATTGATGTAAGCTGTGGGGGAATATTGTCCATAGAACAAGAAGCCAGTTCTGTTTAAAATCTAAAGAAGGTTACTGCTTTAAAAAGTGGCAACTGGAAGAAAGAAAACTGAAGCAGTTTCACAGGTCCTTTATCAAAAATTGTCTATGATGGTCATCAATAAAAAAACTGCAAGTCCAAAGAGTTACTATAAACTGTTTTGAATTGCTGGACTCCTGTTTGAAAGAGCTCTTTTCTACTGTACAGCTTGCTATGCTATTATTTTAAATTCTTTTTCATACCATTTTAAAATTTGAAGCCAGATTGTAAAAACTTTTTGCTTTAAAAATGGAGCATAAATGACCTAATCAAACAGAGTTCAAACATGAACAAAGGCCATTTTGTTGTTGTTGTTGAAGATTGTCATGTAAGCTTGTCTACCGATGACTCTGCTTCCCTGACAAATTCGTTTACAATGCAGCACAGGCATTATAGGAAGAAATAAATGCTGGACATCTTCTTGTGTGTCTCAACATAAACAGGAGAGATAGAAAGGTAGTATTTCCATTGCACTGCAATTTGTCATCCTCCACTCACAAGACTGTAAATTCACCAGGGAAGACAAGACAATCCCAAAGCAATCTAAAAATGTCTCAGTCATTCAGTCTTTTTCCTTGACCTGACTTATCGCTTATCTTCACAGCTCACAGGGTGTTCTTCAGATAACTTTGTCTTTAATTCCTTACGATACAGCTTTGCCCGGAGAAGACGCATGCAATGCTCCAGGGACTGGATGATTTCATCAGTTGTCCATCTGTCCTCAGAAAGAGCATGTTCTTCCAGTGCAAAGGGTCCTTGCTTGGTTCGGGTCAACTCTTGCATAGTGGCAGAGCTCTATAGCCCCAAAAAGGAGTAAACCAAAGACAAATCTGTAAAGAGTGCATCAACATTTCCTAGGACTGGAATTAATTGCAGGAGGAAGGGATTATTAATACTATGAAATGTATATTACTCTCAACATCCTCAGCATGATTGTACCTGATCAGCTGGCACCAGGCCTAATCATGACTAGAGAACAGACTGACTGAAATGAATGGGACCTAAGCAGGCTATCCCCCAGTCATTTTGATTGCTCTACTCTAAGTAACACTAAATCTGACCCAAGCCACTATTTTTAAATCACTTCCAATACAATCAAAGGCTTTCCTACTCAATATGTCCACTATATGCAGCTTAACAGCAACTATTCCTAAATACAGGATGTATAGGTATGGCACTGCAGTTTTAATATGCATTGTTGATAACATGTTCTTAAAATACCAAATGAGAGACTTGGACTTACTAAGAATCAGAAAGCAAGACACAATATAGGCATAATAATAACTTATTTTACAGGATTGCCATGAATCTGTGTGAGCAATAGGTGGCCCTTCAGTTGTTGCTAGACTGGAACCCCTCCCATCTACCTGAGTCAGCATAGTCAATGGTAAGGGCTGATGGGAGATGCAGCACAAAACATCTGGAGGATCCTACATTCTCCACTTCTGCCATAAGCATTGCAGGTAGATAAATGCATATAATGAACCTTGAATTATCCCATGTAAGCACAAAGTTAATGCACTATAATGCACATGACACTGTTAACAATGGTAATTTAAAAACAAACTATAAGCAATTTGAATAGTTGTGTGTAACTTTGCCAATTTCTTTAAAAAACCAATAGCACTTGCAAGAAATTTCCTGCCCCTTGCTGGACCGTCAAAATCATGTGGTGCTCTTCTCAGTACACCATTGCCCATTGATGCTGATGGTATGGAAAACACAGCTGCTAAGCACAGTGAGTCTAGCATGAACAGAAGTTCTCAATGGACAGTTCCTAGCCCACGGTCACTTCATGATGGACAGAATCTAAAGTAGCTCAGTTTAAAAATGGCTCACACAGCCAACCTCCCTACCTATTAATAATCATGTTACTCTTTGCATTTAAGTATAGACAAGGCAAAATACCTCAACTAGATCATGCCTGAGGTCAAAGGAAAATACCTTTAAGGGATCATAACCAAGAGGAATGAAATCCAGGTGAGCTGATAATAATCATCTTGGGGACTACACTCTGTGACTACTAGTTTCAGAGCAATTATCTATCATTATAATGTTGCAGATAAGAACTTGCTTACTTTGCCTTTGTAATTTTGCCTGTTTAGCCTACAGAAAAAGCACCTCATTCCCCCATCACAATTTTCCATGGTCTGTCTGCCACTGTACCATTTCCCTCCTCAGATTCTTTTATAGTCAATTCACTCTGGTTCATTTTATGCTGTAAGCCACTGTGAATCGCACAGCAGTGCTAGCCCCAACATCTGCCAGCCAGAGATACTGAAAGCAAAAAAAAAAGACCTCTATTAACATGAGTGTTGGTTCCTTGAGTGATTGCATTTCCTCTATGCATACCTTTGCCAATGGCGTTGACCAAGCTTCTGACATAAAAGCCGCCCCCACATTCAACATCTGGAATGTTAACTGTGGCACGGTAAATTGCCAGTGAAGTACACGCACACACAAAAATCTACTTTACATAGAAATGTAAAAGTGCACTAAGCAAATGAGAGAATGATTAAAATATTTATGGGTTGTAATATAAATTATTCATCCTGGTAACATATGTGTGAGTGAGATTGCAGAGCTGGCGACGAGAGGAAAGCAAACAGAAATAAAATGCACCACTTCATCCATCATTCATCTCATAACTAGTACTAGCTTCAAGATATCAGTAAGTACTTCAGACCCTTTGTTTGAAAGCGGTGGGGAGATGTTACATAGGGTCATAAGACTTATCTACTGGTGATAGAGAAAAAGCTTGTTTCAAAGTGTGGGCCAAAGTAAACTAAAAATGTTTTATTGCATTGTGTGAACTGTCCAAGTCTGTGGGCAGCACAGGTAGCCAGTCAAGCCAGAAATATTTTAAAATCTATCTCTTGTTCCTTGCCTGGCTTGCAATAAAATGTCACACTGAAGACACAGCCAATAATACCAAACAGAGTGTATTCAAGCAGAGTTTGTGTGTGATGGAAGTGCAAGTCAAGGACAGCCTCAAACTGTTGATTTTACCAACTTACATTTACGTAACTCATGTGCAAAGCTCTTTACCTCTGCATGATCGCCATCAGCTCTAAACCTGGGGTCTCCAAAGTATGGCCTGCAAGCCTTTTTATCCAGCCCTTCTATGTGCGGGTAGGCAGGCGTGACTGCGGGCAAGCGTGTGGATGGGCGGGCTGAAGTAGATGCACGCGTGCAAGTGGGTGGGCGTGGGCGTGGGCGTGTGTGTGTGTGTGTGTGTGTGTGTGTGTACAGGCATACGGGTGAGTTCTTATGTGGCCCTCCATGTGAAAGAGAGGGACGTGGTGGCGCTGTGGGCTAAACTGCAGAAGCCTGTGCTGCGGGGTCAGAAGACCAAGCAGTCGTAAGATCGAATCCACGCGATGGAGTGAGCTCCCGTCGCTTGTCCCAGCTCCCGCCAACCTAGCGGTTCGAAAGCATGCAAATGCAAGTAGATCAATAGGGACCACTTCGGTGGGAAGGTAACAGCGTTCCGTGTCTAAGTTGCACTGGCCATGTGACCACGGAAGATTATCTTCGGACAAAACGCTGGCTCTATGGCTTGGAAACGGGGATGAGCACCGCCCCCTAGAGTCGGACACGACTGGACAAAAATAGTCAAGGGGAACCTTTACCTTTACCTTTACCTTTTACCATGTGAAAAGTTTGGAGACCCCTGCTCTAAATCAATGTAAGCTAAGTTATCAGAATACCCATTTTACAACATAAAAGAAAAATAGTGAACTGTAGTCCTGACCAAGACTTTAACTATAAGTAGAACCTGACAGGGTTTAAAACAGTGATCTTGTTGCTTCTCCTTCTGATTCGCTCTTGCAGATTTCACAAGATCCAGACAATACAACTATGTTTCCATAAATATCCTCAAGCAAATTCTCTAATAGAGGTGGGAAAACTGGCCTTCCAGATACTCTGAACTACAACTTCCATTATCTCTTACTACTAGCCATGATGGGTGAGGCCAATAAGAACTGTAGGCCAGAAATGTAGGATATCAAACATTCTCCATAGGTCTACAGTTTAGCTTCAATGTTTTCCTCAGGATTGGATAGTTCTGATTTGGATCAGTTCTCCTTGATTTTCTAGGCCATGCTAAACTGTATGCTTTACTACAGGCTCTGAAACTAGCAGTTGAGCTAGTAGTAACATGACTTAACCTAGTTTCATATAAACCAAGGCAAGGTCATACAGATTTCATTCGCTTGAAAAGCCAATGCTTTTTAGATTAGAGTGCTGGTCAGTGACATGACATCAAAGCTTCACACTTTTACCTTCAATAAGGTAACATTACTGGTCTCTCAAATTAGAAAGGCAAGATGGGAGGAAACCCACTCTTTCCCCTCCCTCTGCATCTGCTATGCTTCCAGCTGGTAGGCTTAGAAGGGTTAGGGTCCTGGGGTAGATAGCCTTCCACACCATCTTAAACTACATTCACTACGTGGAATGTGTGTTTTGGAAATAGATAAACTTAAACTCAACAGACACCAGAATAGGAGAAAAAGGGAAGTACCAAGTCAGAAAAACAGGGCTAACATCCAATGCTTTGGATACTTACCAAATGTGAACAAGGGTGGCTTTAAATTTTTGAGAGTGAGGCTGTAAACGGTAACTGGCCTGGCAGGCTTTGGCTCCACAGATTCTCCTTTCCTAACCAAGGTTGACAACCTCTGTCCATCTTTCTTCAGGGCAGAATAGCTGATTACAGACAGCATACAAGAGGCCATTAATAACTTCTTCAGAAAACAAACCTAATGTACAGTAGAACTAACATTCTCCACATTTTGCACTCTTGAGTTATATCTAAATATCCTCAGCCAAATGTTGAGAGTTGCTGAGATCTTAACTGACAAAGGGAAAATCCAGGTACAAAAGTTAGGCAAAAATAATAAAACATTTAAAAAACATGCAAGAATGTTATTACACCCAAATTTTTGGTTTGTATAAGAAAAACTAATGTGGAGTCTTAGTAAAACTGGGAAATAGCTAGGCCTTACTCAATTTTTATCATGGGGAAAAGGGGGAAAGAATATCTAATCTACTAAGCTAAACTTTCCCTTCCCCCCCAATTATCAAGATGAAATAAATAACTTATTGCCTACAATCCTGTTGCTTAGTCTAGCAATTCACACTAGAGTAGGTCCATTGAATTAGTGGGCATTGGCAAGTCAATTCCTCCATAAATTTAATTGACCCAAATGGGCCTATTCTAGTTGCAACTTACTTAAACATAGTAACTCACAAATAGAGTAGGTCCACTTGAATCAATGGAACCTAAGGAGGAGCTGACTCATCAAATCCCTGTGGATTCAATGGGCCTACTCTGGTACAAATTACTGTGCTAAGCAATAGGATTTCTGCTTACAAAAGGCTTTTTCCTTTTTTTATCCCCTGCTTTCCATTAACCAGTAGGTAGTTTAGCAGTAAGAATGCCCCATTATTTCCTACTAATGGGTAATCTTGCAGAGATCTGTCTGCTCTTCATTCTAAGTACACTTAGAATGGTCAAAAGTACACTAATACAGCCATACTAATCAGCCATGGCATCGGAAAAGCAGAGCCCAACGAGCAACCTATTTGTGCACAACTCGGACTAACAAAAATGAAGAGAAGAGGCTACAAGGTGTGAAAAGCACTAGGATTGGAAAAAAAATACAGCAGCACTGCTGCTAGACAAAGCTGCAGACACTGGAGATCACAGCCACTGACACAGACATCTGTTGAGAAGGCAACTTGCCTACCCCTCCTTGAATGCTGAATGCAAAGTAAACATTTGGCTCAATGTTGATTGGCAGCTGAAATGTTGCCCAAAAAAGGCAAGAATCAAGGGTCATTTGCATGTGCTTGCTAAAGTCCTTGTCACTCCTGCTCTAATTCTGTCAAGTTAATTCATTCTCTTACAGAGCCTTCTCTTACCAGTTTTCTGCCGCATGAGGTCACTTTCAACTACCAGCAAAATGGAATTACATGGACAAGTTTTCCAGGAAGGTGGTTTATGATTAGATCTCAGTACTTACAGTGGAGGAACTTACATGATGTTCCTTGTAAACTTCTGCAGGACATTCTCAAGAGCCTCTTTTGTTATCCAATCTGTCAAAAAAAAAAAAAAAAAAGGAAAATATATGTACACACAATTCAACACTAGTTATTCATATAGCAACTTTGTTTGTTTATTCATTCATTATTTTGATTTATATTTATATATTTCATAAATATGTGAAGAAAAACCCACCTATCCCTTGTAGATGTTATATTACAGCCAAGGGGGGAAAAACAAGAATGCCCCAGGCACACATGAGTAAGAGAATATGATACATCAGAGAATGGCCTTACTGAATTTAATTTCTTCAACACACTTAAAGAATAGCCAGCTCCAACCCATTCAATGCCACTTTCTTCATGAGCCTGAAGAGGAGGCATTCCTGCTTGTGCAGAGACATTCAACATAAACATGACCCCTCGAAAGTCTGTGATCTTGCTCACCTGTAGAAATGACATTTCTCCCCTTCAGACTCATTGATGCTCACATGAAGAAACAGACAAGGAAGTTTAGGGGCTAGCCACTCTCCGCTAAGTGTGTTGAAGAAATGGCATTCTGTAATGCAGTAATAGGTGAGCAGAGGTTATAAGTGAGGTAATAGGCTGGTGCTGCTCCCCATCCCAGATTTGTGCCGCCTACGGATGGAGCACAGTTTGCAGACATTGCATAACACTGAGTGTTACAAGTGATAAGTCAAAATCAGCCTGGAAACTTTTGAACAATGTTAGGGTCATCTTCAATCCACTTGCCAAGAGTTGAGTGGTTTTCTAAGAAGTTAAGAAGGACTGAATAGCAGTTATGTGTATATTCTTCCCTGGTGCTGTGGTTAAACCGCCGTACTGCAGCCAAAACTGTGCTCACGACCTGGGGTTCAATCCCAGGTAGCGGCTCAAGGTTGACTCAGCCTTCTATCCTTCCGAGGTCGGTAAAATGAGTACCCAGCTCACTGGGGGGGGGGGGCGATGTGTAAAATAATTAACTTGTAAACTGCCAAGAGAGTCCTTGAAGCACTACGGGGCGGTATATAAGCAGCATGCTTTGCTTTTTGCTTTTGCTTTTTTACCCTTTGGCTTAGTCCCTCTCCAGACCTAGGATTACTTTTTACACCACATAAACAAGTACAGCTTTTTTTTTCACTTTGTGCTAAATAGGTGCAAACCATACCATTTGATACATAATTCCCAAAAGACATGAGAAAATGTGTGTAGGTGTATCCAGGCATGTGTGTGTTGGGGAGGGGAGATGATTTGCCTAAATCTTGATTATAAAAATTACTGAGAATTTTTGGATGCAACCATGGCTATAGGAAGGACAAGAAATGAAAGTGTCCTGTGCTTTCTTTTTCCAAACTTCCCTTCTCTCCAATAAAAGGGACACACAAGAACTGAGTACACAAACAGTTTTTATGTGAAAGTCCTATTTCAGATAAACATGGAGAGGGACAAGCTTCCATTTTTCTGCACCATCACTTACAGCCACAGTTTATGCTGTTAAAGTCCAGGGGTTGAATAGCAGGGCAGCGGCTAGAGTGCTGCAAGACAATTATAGATGCCCCTGTTCTAATCTTCGTCCTTGATGCTCAAAAGGTAACACTGTGTCACTCATTACCTATCAGCTTCACCTATCTCACAGGATACTTTATGAGTCATGTATATACTTTCCCCTTAGCTCCTTGGGTGTAATAAAGATACTGTATAGCAAAAAGAGATACAAATAAGTGATTACAAAATATTAAGGACATCTCATCTGCACAGAATTGTCTTGAGCACATGCACATGTGGGCCAGAAGGAAATAGCTTAAAATGCTCAATATATATTGGCCTTTATAATACCAGAGGAACAGGAAAAAGCACAACCTCATAAACACAAAATTTCAGCCTACAAAATTTGGCCTTTTCTTTTCCTCCACTCCCATCTGAATGCTGATTTTTCTGATAAGCCATATAATGTTATGAAAATCTTCCATTATCAAATTACAACACATGCTAATGCAAGCCAATCTAAGCTCCTTCCTAATAACTAGCAAGGGGAGGGCAAATGTGACATATTATGAAATATTCAGTGAACAAAACATTATCCTTCTGATGAGAAAGACTAACGGGATGTTTCCAGCAACACATCAGAATTCTCTATCTAAGTTCAGATTTTGTGTCCATCTTGACACTTCTTGCATACATCTTCTGAACCAGAATACAAATCTTGCCTTTGTAACCTGCCCTTGCAGAGGCAACTCTAAGAATAAAAATTTATGGAGCACAATTACTGTCAAACTAAAGGGGAAAGAATCAGACAAAGATCCATGTCTACCTTGTGCTTTGAATTAAATATTATGCTGATTTTAAATACAATTCTTTTGTTTGCAGAGACTGTACTTCCATGTCATGTGACATCACAGTTCAACATAACATTAGCAAGAAAAATGGGTCACATCAAGCCCAGAGCCCCTTATATCCTCATCGAAATTTGGGTCTGGGGAACATTTGCTACACTTCTCATCAACCATCCAAACCTAGAACTGTAGTTACTCTTAACTATGTTTAATTTAATTACTCTTAACTATGTTTAATGTGCCAGGGAGGCACAATACATGACCTACAGATCCACACAGACCTGCAAGGTAATTTACGCAGCCCCCATACTGCAACCATACTGCCTCTTTCAGTAGTGTACCAAGGAATGAATTAATGCAATGCTTCTTTTAAAGAGGGTTCAGGAACTGCCACTGAGTTTCTTAATTATTTCCTGCTTGTTTTAAAGTGGCATTTTCTTTTTGTTTGATGCTAACACTGGATTGCACAGCTGGTTGGCAAATTTTAGCAACACAGCAATGGGAAAAATGTAGCTAGGGGCAAGTTCTGGATCTATCAAAGTTGTTCAGTTTGGCTTGCATACACCACTTCAGTAATTCTACTTCTAAATTTATTGTTTAGAAACTACATAATGTTAGCCAAATGACACAGCTAATTATAGTAAAATAAAAGCTTCTGAAGTCTACCACTTGGTCACCTGAATAAAGGTCTGTAACAAGCTTTAAGCTTGATATAGTTTCTTTCAGTAGTGCTAAACTAAGGTAAACAGAGTTACAGAATTCCAATCGAAATACAGAATTCAGCAGCATTTAAATCTTGTGACAAGCATACACACATTCAGACTGTGACAAAAAAGATTAGGTTTCCCAGGGTTGGAAAGGACTCCAAAGGTCCTCAAGTCCAATCCCTGTTGACGCAGAAGCCACAGCTAAGACTTCCTTGTTACTGATCTGCAGCCATCAAACATGTTTGAAATCCTCCAATGAAGGGAAGTCCAATTCCCTCCAGAATAACTTACTGTCAGGAATTTTTTCCTATAACCAAACTCTCCTTTGCTGTAAATTTGAATCCATTAATTTGAACCTTTGGAACAGCAGAAAGCAGGCTTGCTCCATCCGCCAAGTGACAGCCCTTCAAATATATAAGATGGCTGTCATACCACCTTGCAATCTTCTCTTCTCTAGGCTAAACACGGCCAGCAAGTCTAATCATTCCTCTCAGGACCTAGTTTTCAGACCCTTTGAGACCAGCTACCATTTTACTCAATGACTGATCTATACATTGCTTTCTGTTCACCTTCCCTTCTATTTCTAGTGAATCCCAATAGATTCCTAGCAAAGGAATGAATAAACAACCTATCACTTTGGGGGGGGGGTTATATTTTAATCCTTGCTCTTTATTTGTACTTAGCAGTTGCATCTCTTTCTCTGAACAGATGGCTCTCATGGTACAGATAAGAGGGTTATTCCTTGAAAAGAAAACATTTCATCTCTTGCGCTGTATCGGAAGGAAACATATTTGTTATCTCACTTTACACCAATGGAGCATTTGGTACCTTGATGGCAGATGCTGCCACTGTGCCCAGCAGCATTCTAAATTAAGTGTCATTAATGTTAATGCTGCAGCACTTCATAAATCAGCCAGGGCTGCAAGAAGAGAACAATATGTAATGGAACAGAGAAAGAAGAGAAAAGAAAAACACTTCTTGCTCCTGTTTGTTGTTGTTCCCTATCCATCATGTAGCTTCTGATTTAAGGCAACCTAATAGGATACTGAGTTATGCAAGATGTTCGAGGAGTAGGTCACCATTGCCACCTCCCCAGTCCCAGTGGGTTTCCATGGTCAAACAGGGATATGAATCCAGGGTTCCTGAATCCTAGTCCAGTAATTTCCCCATCTTTGGTACTAATATGGTTTTTGCTGTCCTCAAAATCAAAAACAATTTCTCTGCTGTAGAACGGCTACTGCTATTAGAAACACACAATTAGCTTTTGGGGTTCAAAACTTATCCTCTCACTTGGTATTCCAGAGTTTCCTGAAATGAGAAGTTGCAAGTTTTGATAAGAGGAGTAGGGTACAAAGAGCTGGAGAGAAATTCAAATAGATTGAAAGTATCCAGTTTATATAGGGCAAAGCTGCATAAGCTGGGTGCTCAGATTTTGTGGGAGCTGTCTTTCAAGGATAAAAACTCAAGAGCTATCTTTTGAGGAAAAGGCCTTTAGTGCTGGAGAGTCTGTGCAGGTTTGCTGTTCACCAGACTGTATGATCATTCACAATCACAGCTGTGCTCCAGTGACCTCTCAAAATTCTCCAAGCTTGTCATAAAATTGTAGATGATGTGTTTCTTATACTGTAGTTTTATTTCTATGACACATCTCTTTACCACTCTTCAGCTTCCCTAGCTGGGGGGAGATAACCCTGCAGGAGAAGTCCTTTTACAATGTTTCTTTCCCTGGGCTTTATTTCAAGTTTAAGAAGCTGAGAAGTCCATTTCAGTCTTGTACAATGAAACACTGTGCATTTACAGACATCCTTGGCCACCTCATCAGGACAAGAATCTTGCAGTTCATCTGTAAAATTTATCCTCTTCTGAAAAAGAATTTCTTTTTCTAACAAATCATGTTACTGTACATTTATTGTCAGTAGAGGCGGTAATAGAGCCCTTTCTCTTAGGCCCTCCTTTGTTATTGTACCGAAGGAGTTACGGTAGAGGACTGCAGAAGGAGAAAGCTTTTACTTTTATTGTTAACTAAACCATCATTTCATGTTACATAAGAAATTTGTTTACAACCTACAATATAAAGCAACTAGAGAATAATCCATGTTTGTTCTGATTTCTACTAACATGGTCCATTCAGAAGTGGAACTACATACGTCTACTATCCTCCTCTCAGTTGTGGGCCTCCATATGGCTGCAATTCACTCACAATAGCCAAAGCCATGGTTTACTTTAGACCATTTCAGCTGGGCCTACACCTTGTTTGATCAGTGAACTCAGCACTCAATATGGAACAGAGTGGTGAAGCATCTTAGGAAGCTTGTCCAGAGTGAGGAAATAAAACTCCATAGAGATTCTCTTTATTACTACAAGGTAAGCAATGATAATTTACTGCAGTTATCTGTTCCCAGCTATTACATACAGAGTCTGAATAGCTGTTGCTAGGAGACCAGCTATCTATAGCTTCTTTATAAGATATAAAGGAATTAATGCGAATAGATGCAAGTTTACTCCCCAATTAGCAGCATGTTATTTCTCAGAGGCACAGAGAAGCTCGATCTTTACATACGACCAAAGCCAAGGCAACAAAACAGAAGCCTAGCAACCACTTCCGGCAGTGAAACTGAACACCTCCTCTTGCTTAGGTAGATTTTATTGTTTAGTTGTTTATCTGAAACTTAACATAACATTCTGAGGAAAAAGAACCAAAGCAAGGATTAATCGCAGGGAAAGAATAATAATAGGAAACTTTTCTTTTTGTTTTTATAAACATCCTAACAAAGAAGCAGTAGGAAAACATTGCAAGAAACTGTTTTTTCTATGGAAGATGCAATAGCTGTAGTCAATGTATGCTGCTCTTCCCTTTATGAGGACTACTTAATGAGTAGACATCACCAGTACTTCCTTGATACCAGGGTGGGTAAAAATCAATGATTTTTAAAAAAAAATCAAATTCATTTAAATGAGTTAAATCACAATTTAAATTTTTTAAAAAATCATTTTTATTTAAATCATTTAAAACATGAAATCCACCCTGCCTGATATTCTTCTGCACATTAGGTCAAAGATCTGCCTAAATAATAAGGCCTTGCCTAATCACTTTTGAAAAGTAACTTTTAAAAAGATCATTAATTGCACAGCATACAATACATTTGTGAACACCCATAATATTATCCCAAACTCTCCTGTTCAGTACAGTTTGGCAAGGAGGGTGAGAACGTTTTTATTTGTTATTGTTCTAAGGCACCTCATATCAATCAGCAGCTCTAGATTTACCTTCTAGCACCCATGTACCAAACTATAATTACTTCAGAAATAAATTAAGGATTTTAGTTCAACACTGCTTCCTCCGTGAACACGGCACTGTAGTGAAACAGTTGAGAACAGATCATATTTGGTTTGTTATTTACCATAAGGTTTTTCTTCTGTAACTTTTCCTGTAGAAATAAATGTATCTGTTGCCTTTCCCAGTTCCCCAACTAGAGTGTATTTCCGTGCAGAGAAAAATAATGAATGTGAAAAGGTGATGGGGAGAAAACGGAGGTCTCATTAAAATATATATATCTATATGAGCCATATCAAGTTACTATTGCGTTACCAGGCCTATATGAAGAAAGGAAACGCAGGCGCAGGGGAGAAAGAGTACGATGCAGTGCTGTACATATACAGCTTCTTTTTGATTTACAGAATTCATTCAAGCAGAAGCATACTAAATCACTATTATAAAAAGTATAAGGCGTGGTCCTGAAAGGATATAAATGTTAGAATATTTTAGTGAAATAAATACAACAGATACCACATGGCAATGCACTTCACCAGCTTCACTGAGCCTGGCACCAAAGTTGCACCATGCCATAAGGGTGAGGGAAGAGGGGCATGATTTCCATCTTCTTTGTAAATGCTGTCACCTTTGGGGAGCGGAGGCAATGCTATATTTTCAGTAACGGAGACAATTGAAAGTAGAATGATACGAACTCTAAACTGAAGCTGAAGAACAAGGATTTCAGTCAGAGTACTGTGTGCCACTCTGCTTCTCACTCTTTCTCTCTTTTAAATCTTCCTACCCTTAATCTGGGTCAGAGTCACATAATTTTATATATTTATATTATTGATTGTTTGTTTTTAAAAGACACAAAGGTTAAAAAGCAAGACTTTTTTGCCTAGGCTGCTGTATTAGATGTTCCCCAAGATCTCCTCAGAGCCTGGGAAACATCCTTTTTGGACTACAGTTCCCAGAATCTTCGATCCAGCATGGGCAGTTCAACTATAACTTACAGGATTCCCCAGATAATTCTAGGTGCAGCCCCAAAAAGGAAATCTCTCTAGCTCTGATTCTCTTACACCAAGTGATTGATTGCTGCAGCGTTTTTTCTTAATCCACTTCTCCACCTTCGTTTTGCTTTTCAATACAAAAGCTTCAACAACACAATACTGACTTCTCCCCCACCCCAGTTAAAATGAATGTAAAGGAAAATGAGAACAGCCAAGCTACTACACAACCAAAACAACTATTTAAATAACGTTAGAGAAAGGCATGGGGAGTAAGTCTACCAGTGCCTAGGAACCATGACTGTTGTGCAAAGTCTTCATTTCCAGGAACAGCAACCCTATCAAACCATTCATTCAAATGCACTCAGCGCTAACTTAATGATGGGGATGTATGCCTGCCATCACACAGAAGGCAGAACCTTTGTACATTGAACATCTCATGTTGAACAATCATCTGAAAAAGAATCTATAAGCACATTTGGCTGAATGCACTTACATCATTCAAAAGAATTGATGCTTTTGAATTGTGGTGCTGGAGGAGACTCTTGAGAGTCCCCTGGACTGCAAGGAGAACAAACCTATTCATTCTAAAGGAAATCAAGCCTGAGTGCTCACTGGAAGGACAGATCCTGAAGCTGAGGTTCCAATACTTTGGCCATCTCATGAGAAGACTCCCTGGAAAAGACCCTGATGTTAGGAAAGTGTGAGGGCAAGAGGAGAAGGGGACGACAGAGGATGAGATGGTTGGACAGTGTCATTGAAGCGACCAACATGAATTTGGCCCAGCTCCGGGAGGCCGTGGAAGACAGGAGGGCCTGACGTGCTCTGGTCCATGGGGTCATGAAGAGTCAGACACGACTAAACAACAACAACTTACATCATTCCCATGATGTGGAATCCTGATAAGGCAAGGCTCCTAAACACACATTCAGCCAAGTGCACTTCAGACCTTTGTTCAGATTGACTTCCAGATGCTGAGAGTGGTTGGGGGACAAGACCTATGTGTGCACCCAAGTCCCTACCCAAACTGAGCTTTTCACACATTCAGGCAAGAATATAAATAGGGCAAAGCAACCACTGGATGCCATTTGCTGGGAACCAAGAGGAATGCACCATGACCCTCAAACCATTCTTGTGGTATCCTAGAGTAGTGGCCCATAGGACTATCGCATGGGACAGGATTTCTCGGTAGCGGTAGTCTAATTATGCACCCACTTGTATTAGAGATCCAGTTGTCCTCCACACTCTTGCTTTTCAGGTGCCATCTGTTTCAGCAATAAGCAATCACTTCACTTGCCTTTTACTGCTACTTATGTGTGTCGCTTTTGTTGTATTTTACCAGATGTCTATAAATATCTGATTTTAGTTTTTGTAATTTAATTCTCTGTTTAATGTAAACTGTTAGTCATCCTAAGATCTTATATATTGGGCACAAATTGAATAAATAAATTACAACAATAATGTGAAACACCACTGAGAGGTGAAAGACAAATACCTTTGCTCGAATCAAGTGGCTCTCTTACATTGTCATCTTCATTCAAACTCATGCTTCGGTCTGAAAAGATAAAACCTGGATTCCTAGCGCTGTAATTTGTAGGTGAAAGCACGATACCTTGAAGATGGCCATCCATACAATTTGTTTGTGTTTGGGTGAGAAATTGTTAACTGATGAAAAAAGGAGTCAGCTTCTGAGATCTCTCTTGTGTGGTGTCACTTTGTGAATGGTAATGGTGCTGGGAGACTTCTGTTCAACACCTTGACCATTAGCCAGTGGAGTGTCTCGGGGTTCCATTTCTCCATGTATATTTCACATATACCTGAAAGCCTAAAAGAATTTTGTAGTATATCATGAGTGTGCTGATGACACCCAACTCCATCTGCTTTTTAAGCTCTTCAAGGAGGCCCTTCTCTCAGTCTCTCAGGCCCCAGTGTATGTCAACCAGCCCCCTACCACTCCCTGGGTGACCACAGCAGTTAACCACTTCTCATCCAAACACTCATCCAAATGTCAGGGCTACTTTTCAACAAGTGTGAATTGTAGTGAGCAAAAGAGGGTATCCTGTAGACCATCTTGACTGCTGCCATTGGTGTTTTCAACATGCAGACTGTCCATTGCTATGTAAAGCTTGGCATCCTTTTCCCTGCTGGCAATGCAGGCACAATATTGTGTAGCAATATTGGCCCATTTCCTGGCTTTCTGAATCGTGCATTCTTAAAAGAAACCTAAGGTTTTTTAAATAACTGAACTTCCTGGCTTTTTAAAATGGGAGTTTAAATATACACATGCTACCCACAAATTCAATCAAAAATGTTCCTTATATAGAATCACACAGTGGTAGAGGATTTCAGAAGGTGAGCATATGATCTTTACTATGGTTACTGGGAGAAGACAGAAGCGAGAACAGCTTGGATGTGGCCACAGTCCCTCTGTGCCAAAATATTTTGAAGGGCTGTTTTGGACTTAATGAAATGATGAAGCGAAGATGTGAGTAGATACAACATATACAATGGAGAAGCATACACACTCAGTTACACTAATGTAACACCATGCCAGCTCCACCAAATGCAGACTGGAAAGCTATGTTCCAATTTCATATCCATTTCTCTTGAGTTAGGCAAGCTGAGGAAGAAAAGCTAAATTGAACCAAGATCCCTCTGGATACGCTGTGTAAATGTTTTCCAAAAGATGTCCCTTTGCTTTTTGAAATAATAAAAAAAGGAAGAGGTTGGAGTTAGCAAATAATGTCACTGGAAACGAAGGTCAAAATCATGCATACTCTGTGAAAGGAAGATAATGAAGAAAGACAGGGATAAAAATCAAGTTATTTAAAATGTGTTTGTAGACATACTAGACAGAAAAGCAAAAAAGTGGACGATCAATCAAGTCAAGTCAAATGAATAACCTGAGTCTGTCCTACCATGCATATATAATAGAAATGTGAACATTCTAAGCAACTAAGCTATTTGCATAAAATAGCATTCTGACCAATCAAAATGTGTCTGGAGTCATTTCTGTGTTGTAACCTTTGAGCACAAATGGGGCCTATGACTGGACAGTGGTTTGAATGTTGTTAAAAATCATGTAGAGCCACGTTGTAACCTTTGAGCACAAATGGGGCCTACGACTGGACAGTGGTTTGAATATTCTTGTTAAAAATCATATAGAGCCATGAGAAGTCATGCACCAGATCCATGTTTTTGCACCACTGGAAAACCACGTGCTAGGGGATCCATGATTTCTGTGGCGTAGTCTGTGGGAACAGATGGGCCATATGACTGGATAGCTGTTTGGGAAGGTCATATGTAAAAATCATGTGGAATCAAGAGCTGCTGGATAGCTCAGTGGTTTAAATCTTTGGCTGCAAAGCACAAGTTGGGAGTTCAGTCCCCCATTGTGTCTCCTTAACAGGGGCTGTATTTGATGATCCATATGATCCCTTCCAGCTCTGCAGTCCTAAGATGATAATTGTTCACTGAGTCCCCCCATGCACTGAGGGACCCATGATTTCTTTGTTGTAATCTATGGACACAAATGGGGCTTATGACTGAACAATGGTTTTGGGATGATCCTGCAGAATAATCATGAGGATCCATGCATCATCTCCATATTTTTTTCATCACTGCAAAATCATGCACGGAAGGACCCATAATTTATGTGGTGTATTCTGTGGGTGCAAATGGCATCTATGATCTGATAGTGGTTTAGGGAGGATAAATCTAAAAATCATATGAAATCATGTGGATCCGTGAACTTATAAGTGAACTGAGTAAATGTATAAGTAAAATAGATAAAGCTTGTTTTGACATCACCAGTCAAAAAGGCAAAAAACAACTAACTCATTTAAGCTATGAAATTACTGTTTTTTGCCTTAAAAATATTGTTTTAAACATTTCCACAGGCAAGAATGTGTGGCCAGGAAGAAATTAAATGCTTTCTTTCACATTGAAGGCCCTAGCAGTTAAAAGTGACTGCTCTGTGGGCTGATTCCAGATACATTCGGATTGGTCAAAATCCTATGGTATGCAAACAGCTCCCTCTAGAATCTTACCAAGTACAGTAATAGAAAAAGCAGTGATTTCAGAGGCTTTCAAGTTTTATTAGGACTAATTCAGAGGTTTACGATAGTTTAGAGCCATGAGTGGCTTAGTCATTCTAAATGAAAAAAGTGGCAAAAAGGATGTCTTTTTTTAGGTATGCAAATTTTGTCTTGTCATTGTATTTCATTTTTTCCAAAAAGCTGTAACTGAAAGTTGCATGCATCTGTATGGGGTAAAAACAGTGTTGCTTTTAAAAAATTCACTAGTTGAGAATCCTTTGCCCAAATATACCCAAGTTTGGCAAAGAACAAGTGCAGATTTCTTGCTGCATTCATGGCAAATTTGGTGCTGATCCGAGGTCTAGTTTTTGTTTGGACTATCAGCCTTATTAGCAATACTTGGAAGAACATGTTTCTTTTATGCTGTGCCAATATATGACTGACCTATCGCCCAATAATAGCTAAGATGTGGCTGTGGAATGAAGACAAAGGACTGAAGCATACATTGGAGTTAGCCCTAGAATGCTGCTAATTCCTGATTCTACTAGAGAGTGGATGTCTGCCCTTGCCTGAAATACTTAACATACAGAGCGCTAACATGTTAGGAGTATCCAGGCTCTCTGTCTAGTAGCCACCAATGAGCTGTGCCATAGAGTCTTAAAGCAGAACTCCATATGGTAGATGCTTCTAAGTGTTTAAAACCACAACCAGGCTACATTATTTATTGGGAAGGCTTTTTTAGTGGCACTTCGGCAGTGACTGGAAAGTTACTCTGCCTCTTGCGTCCATAAAAGGCTCCATGCTACCTAGCATACACAATAACTGAAAGTAATAAAGGTCTGTTGCAAGGAACAGACCTTTTAACAATCCTTGTCATAATGACAGCGGGTACCAGGCAGCAAGCTGGGTGTAACACCTCTCAATATAAAGAAGAACCATGGGAAATCTTGTTTTCCCCTTGAATTACTAGTAGATGCTCATTCCAGTGGCAAGGAGGCCAAATTCCTGAACTCCTAAATTATCAGTTATATCAGTTGTATAAAAAACTTGTGGTTACAAGAGACACACCAACTTCCAAGATGCGCCCATACGCTATGAGGCATGCGGAAGGCAGCTATCTCGGAAAGCTTGCATGGGTGCTTGTTGGCATAAACTAGAAGGGAGAAAGTTCCTTGAGCATGCTAGTTGGATATGATGCACGATGCAGCTACACATAATGATCCCACCTCTTCTTTATACCAGTACTGTCACACAGAACCAAGGTAAGCTCTCTGACGCATACCTCCAGATGTGAGATTGCAAATCCCAAGAATCCGCTGTGACAGGAATGAGACAACATAACTGAGAAAGAGGTGATTAAATTACATGCTTTCTACATTTTACAAGACTGTTTATATTAGTAGCATTGATGGAAATATAATCTTTAGACTAACACTGATAATCTTTAAACCCTTGGGGCACCCTGAACTGAACATCCCTTGCATTAGAGGATAAAATGCATGCTGAGGCACTAGCTGAAACCTGAAAGAGTTATTTTATATTAAATCACTGAGAGAGAGTTAAAGCCTAGCAGTTTTTCTAGTTCTAGGCACTCAACTTTATATACAACTGTGACATTTAATCATGTGACCCTGCTTGTTTCACTACACAAAGAGCTCACGCGAGTATCCCAACATGTCCTTTATGTCGCTGCCACCAGTTGATCTCTTTGCCAACGTTTCCTATGAAAGACTGAGGTCCATTCAGTACTTAACTTTGAAAGAGATTACAAGTTGTTTCAGGAATAATTCTTAAGCACATTCTTAAAGTTACACAAAGTTTCGGTAGTTTCCTTTAACCTTTTCTATCTTAATACAAGAAAGCTGACCACCGAAGAATTGATGCCTTTGAATTGTGGTGCTGGAGGAGGCTCTTGAGAGTCCCCTGGACTGCAAGGAGAAGAAACCTATAAATTCTAATGGAAATCAACCCTGAGTGCTCACTGGAAGGACAGATCCTGAAGCTGAGGCTCGAGTACTTTGGCCATCTCATGAGAAGAGAAGACTCCTTGGAAAAGACCTTGATGTTAGGAAAGTGTGAAGGCAAGAGGAGAAGGGGACGACAGAGGATGAGATGGTTGGACAGTGTCATCAAAGCTACCAACATGGATTTGACACAACTCCGGGAAGCAGTGGAAGAAAGGAGGGCCTGGCCTGCTCTGGGCCATGGGGTCACGAAGAGTCGGACACGACTAAACAACTACGATCTTAATACAGATATCTCTCTGACTATTCACTCCTTAAATTCTCTCTCTGCCTCAAACCCAAACTATTTCGCCTCAAAAATCTGTCTCTGACTGAACTCCCTAGACTCTGACTTACCCCTCCCTTCTAGTTCTCCGGCTCCGCCTCCCAACAGCTCTCATTGGTACATGCCAATAATCTTCTACCTGAGCCAAAGCAGGGTAATCACCACAACAACCATCATGAGGATTGAAAGAAAAACTTGCAGGCAGTTCAGTATCTATTGGT